AAAGAGGCACCCAGGTAAATTAGAAAGCCCTTATTCCTGATACATTGGTTTCTGCCCTTCTTAACTGAAGACACTTTATTGAAGCTTTTAGGATGAGCAAGACTCTTCACTTTTGTTACTCAATTTCATAGCCAATTCTGCCACATTCCACCCATAGAACTGGCTTTAAAACTTAAATCACTTAAATCAAATGGCACATTACCAATGCTACTCTAAGGCCTTACCAGAAGCTAATAAGAGACAACTATATGGTGCCAATTTTTAAATACAGTTTTATTTAAGACATTGCATTTTCCACTTACAATACAGTGTTTATAAAGTGCAATGTTATTTCCTTTCCCTGTGTACATGTTCCATATTCAAGTATTGAGAATGCCCAGTAATTTACTATAGCAGCAACTTTACAACTGCCACAGAATTTGCTACAAATTTGGGCCCTTCCATGTTTTACTGTGGAACAATGCTACAACTGTACTTGGGCTGGCTTAATCAACTTCTTCAATAGTGGGCCCAGAGGAAGCACCAGAGGGAGGAGCTCCCCCACCAGGGAATCCCCCAGGCATTCCTCCTGGCATGCCTCCTGCGCTCTGGTACAGCTTGGTAATGATGGGGTTGCAGACTTTCTCCAGCTCTTTCTGCTGATGTTCAAATTCTTCCTTCTCTGCAGTCTGAAGGGGAAAAAAAATAACCATTGTAAGTTTACTTATAATGCAACCTAATATATTCATGGAGCCCAGGGCTAGTCAGAAAAAGCACCTCACACTAGGTCTTAGTCTTGGGTCACTCAGACATCCAAGGAAGGTAAACTGCCAACATGTCAAATTCTGGTGGAAACTGCGAATGTCTGGACCTTTCATCACTGTGACCGTTATGCCAACCCAGAGTCTATGCATCTCTTTACTGCTTAGCAGAAAATTACCAACCTGGTTCTTATCCAGCCAGTTAATGATTTCATTACATTTGTCAAGAATCTTCTGTTTGTCCTCATCATTTATCTTGCCTTGAAGTTTCTCATCTTCAACAGTTGCTTTCATGTTGAATGCATAGGACTCAAGTGAATTCTTGGATGACACCTTGTCCCTCTGCTTTTCATCTTCAGCTTTGTACTTCTCAGCTTCCTGGACCATGCGCTCAATGTCTTCCTTGCTCAAACGACCTAGAAAATTACAGAATCTTCAGTAGGTCTTATCCCTTGGCCTACAGTGGGGGACACTTCAAATAAATCAAGACCAGACAAGAGAGCCTTGTTTTCCAGACTAACCTTTGTCGTTAGTGATGGTAATCTTGTTTTCTTTTCCTGTACTCTTGTCTACAGCAGAAACATTCAGGATGCCATTGGCATCAATATCAAATGTGACTTCAATCTGAGGAACACCACGGGGTGCAGGGGGTATGCCTGTGAGTTCAAACTTGCCAAGCAGGTTGTTATCCTTGGTCATGGCACGCTCACCTTCATATACCTTGGGGTAAACAATAACAGAAGTTAGTCACCATTAAGACTTAAAATTTCTGTGCTATATAAACTCACTAGGAATTAATAGTCGCTCAGACATCCAAGGAAGGAACTGGCCAACACAAAATTGTTCTGGTGGAAACTACGAATGGTTTTGGAATCCATCATCACAGCGAACAAGACTTTCCTGGTTTTACATAACTGCTACAAGTGTTAATAATAAATAACACCTACCTGAATGAGCACACCAGGCTGGTTGTCAGAGTAAGTTGTGAAGGTCTGTGTCTGCTTGGTAGGAATGGTGGTATTGCGCTTGATGAGGACAGTCATGACTCCACCAGCAGTTTCAATACCAAGGGAAAGAGGAGTGACATCCAATAGCAGCAAATCTTGAACATTTTCAGACTTGTCTCCAGATAAAATGGCTGCCTGGACAGCTAAAGAAAAGATTAAAAATTAAAAAAAAAAACCAAAACAAATTCAAATCACCTCATTAACCCATTTCATTCGCTCAGACATCCAAGGAAGGAACTAGCCAACACAAAATTTCTGGTGGAAACTACGAATGGTTTTGGAATCCATCATCACAGCGAGTTGGTTTGGGCCCCAAAGGCTGCCTATTAAAGGGTAAAATTTGAGATTACCTGCACCATAAGCAACAGCCTCATCAGGGTTGATGCTCTTATTCAGTTCCTTTCCATTGAAGAAGTCCTGCAGAAGCTTCTGAATCTTGGGGATGCGAGTAGAACCACCCACCAGTACAATATCATGGATCTGTGACTTGTCTAGTTTGGCATCTCGAAGAGCTTTTTCTACAGGGTCGAGGGTGCCACGGAACAGGTCAGCATTCAACTCTTCAAATCGAGCACGGGTAATGGAGGTATAGAAGTCGATTCCTTCATAGAGAGAATCAATCTCAATACTGGCCTGAGTGCTGGAAGAGAGGGTACGCTTAGCTCTTTCACATGCAGTACGGAGACGTCGGACAGCTCTTTTGTTCTCACTGATGTCCTTCTTATGCTTGCGCTTGAACTCTGCGATAAAATGATTGACCATTCTGTTGTCAAAGTCTTCTCCACCTAAGTGGGTGTCTCCAGCTGTAGATTTGACCTCAAAGATTCCATCCTCAATAGTGAGGATTGACACATCAAAAGTGCCACCTCCTAAATCAAAAATCAGCACATTTCTTTCAGCTCCAACCTGCCATTAAAAAATAAGCTTATATGTAAATTTCTGACAGCTAATAATAAATCCTAAATCTAGATTTGCATTCAAAGACAAAAATTAAGACAAACCTTTTTGTCCAAACCATAAGCGATAGCAGCAGCAGTTGGCTCATTGATTATCCTAAGTACATTGAGACCAGCAATGGTTCCGGCATCTTTGGTTGCCTGACGCTGAGAATCATTGAAGTAAGCTGGCACTGTGACCACAGCATTGGTAACAGTCTAGGAATAAAGTAACAACAAAACACAGAAAAACCCAGATTAATACCAAGTAATTAATACCAGTACAATTTGTGCTATTTCGTCCCATAATCAAATTAATTTCAACATGGACTCAAATTCCAGTTGGACGCCCCCATTGTTAAATTCCTACATTGTCAAAAAACCTCAACCTCACCTTCCCAAGGTAGGCCTCTGCAATTTCCTTCATCTTTGTCAGAACCATAGAGGACACCTCTTCTGGATAGAAACTTTTTGTCTCTCCCTTGTATTCTACTTGGACTTTGGGCCTGCCTGCATCATTCACCACCATAAAGGGCCAGTGCTTCATATCAGACTGGACAACAGCATCATCAAATCTCCGCCCTATCAGACGTTTGGCATCTGTAAAAAGAATCCGGCATTTTATTGCATTTCACCTTCTAACATTAAAACTCGGGCCTAGACTAGGGTGAAGTTCATTCTGCAAAGGCCTAATTGTCCAGCAATACATAAACCCCCCCATGCTTTCTCAAATGCCAAACTCCTATGTGGGAAGCAATAATAGTACATCCTAGTTTACCCTAAAATTACTTATTACCTAATCGAGGTATCCCAAGAAAAATATTTCCCTACTGCACAGGACTCTTCGGTGTCTCATTTAGTAAGCCAGAATTCCTCAAATGCCCTGCTCCCTAGCCGTTAATACTTATAAAATTACATACTTACCAAAAACCGTGTTGGTGGGGTTCATCGCAACCTGATTCTTTGCAGCATCGCCGATCAATCGTTCTGTGTCAGTAAAGGCGACATAGCTTGGGGTAGTTCGGTTCCCCTGATCATTGGCAATTATCTCCACTTTTCCATGCTGGAAGACACCCACACAAGAGTAGGTGGTGCCAAGATCAATGCCAACTGCAGGTCCCTTAGACATGGTTCCTAAGAATAAAATTAAACACGTGTTTTGAAAATCCAGTGAAGCATTTTCAGTGTATTCCCCCTTCTTTAGACCACTTAAGAATGGCCATAACCACACAGATGATTATGCTCAGTACTTTACCACGCAGGAGATCAGAGCAGTAATGCTGCAGTACAGGTTGCTATGCCAAACCTAGCAGAGCCCGCCCCTGCCCGAAGGAACCATCTGCCCTGAAGGTCTCCGACGTTGCTGAACACGTGGCCCACACCGACAGGAACCCCGGTGCAATCCCCGTTGCCAAAGCCCAGGGCTCCACGAGTTGCAACGGCCCTTCTTTCCCCACTACCCTAAGAACCTCCATTCTGGGTGCTTGCCAAGGGCGGCTTAAAAAGCAAAACGACCCTGGAAAAAGCAAAGAGTCAAGGCCTGGCTCCGATTCCCCTAACCAAGGCCACAGCGGATGCGGCGCCCCTCCCCCACCACGCAAGGTCTTATTTAACCGGGGCAAAGGGGCGCCGCCCTGCCGCCCTGGGTCGGCCGCAACAACCTGAACTCGGCTCCCCCCTAACCTGCAGGCCGGGGCCAAGCGCCAAGGCCACCCCCTGTAGAGAAAGTGCTGCTTCACCGATCGCTACTCTTCCCCCGCAAGCTCCAGAGAGCTGCTCTGGAGACCCTTGGCAGCAAGCCCACTCAGTCTGGGATACACACTTCCCCGGAAACTTCCAAGGACTTAAAGGGCAAAGGCCTTACCGTATGTGTAGGCCGGAATCTACTCGCGAAGAAACCTCACACACCTCAAAAGCTGCCACCGCGTTCAATGAGACCGGTTTCCGCCCGCCACCCTGTCTCTTATACCCTGTCTCAGAACCTTCCAGAAGGGGCCCGCCCCTGCCGGCTGTTCATCATGGTCGCCTCAACCAATGAGTGCTTGGCTACCTCTGCAAGCTCCAATGAGGAACCCGTATTCGCTCATCAAGCCTCACCCCCACCCGCCCCCGTCCCACCCCCCCTCGCGATGACGCACCACCGCAGCGTTCTGGAACTTTCATGCTCGCCCCCGCTCTCCGAACCGCCCCGGGGAAAGGGAGGGTGGGGCCAAGAGAGCCCGCGCGCGGGAGTCTTCCGTCACTCTAGGCGGGGGAGGGGAGCGTTCGCCGCGACGCAGGCGCCCGCAACCAGCGCGGGCGGGAGAGGGCGGAAGGAGAAGGAGGAAGAGGGGCGGGCACACTTGGAAACAACCAATGGTGGCAGCGCCAGCCGCGATCTTGTCCCGCGCCGAACAGGGTCAGCCCGAACGCAGGGCCTGAAGGGAGGGGTCCGGGGTCCGGAGCCCGGGAAAAGAAGACGGAAGTGGAGCGAGGACAAAATGGCCGCGAAGGTTGTTCCTCCCCTCCCCCACCAAGTCCTCATTTCTCCTTCCCCATCCACCACCGCGGTATTCTAGACGGTCCGCTTGGTCCCCGCACCCCGATTCCGTGCACCCACACTTCCTAGCTATAATGGCTTTGGGATAGGGCGGACCCTCAGTGTTTGAAGCGGTCATTTCGGCCTCACGGCCCCTCTAGGATAACTTGCTCATGGGCACCTCGATTTGGGATTAGGGTGAACCGCCAGGCCGCCGCGGTATCTCGCCTCTGTTCCTGTCCCTTAGAACACCCTGGACACGGCCCAGCGTTGGAGCGCCGAGCCGGGCCCCTCCTCCCGCCGAGCACATGGGGCTCGGGTCAGGCCCTCCCCCACTTGCCACGTTTCTCTCTTATTTATGAAAAAAATATTTAAAAGGTCCCGTATTTTTCCCTTGTAGGTGAGCTAGGCATTAGCAATTCGAGGTTCCGGTAGCCCTGTGTCCTTGATTTAGATTTCCGGAGCTTTTTTTATTTTCAGTAACATGAGGTAATGTCTTCACTGCCTTGGCTTTTATCAAAAATTAAACAACAGACCCTGCAGAGTCCTTGAAAACGTAACTGAGCCACCAAACAACAGTGCCTAGAATTTTAAATTGTGATGCATGGAGGCAGGCATTGGGGCCTTACCCTTCCAAGCCTGCCGGAGTTCCTTGAAGGCTTTCCATGTGTCCTTTCAAACAGTCAGGGCAGCTATTATTTCTGTACACTAGATAAATAAACACTGAAGAGTTAGAGCCTTTTTTAAAGATTATCCTACAGAATTTTTTAGTAGCCAAGCTACCAAAAATTGGTTTGGAAGTTCGCCAGACCAAGCGAGGAAGGCTAGCCGAGAATTGAGGACACCTTGCCCTTGTCAAAGCCAGTAAAACCTAGGGACAGAGTCAAACATGAAGGAAGAATCTTTTCATATTTGATTATTCTTGTTATCTTGAAGACCGTGGTGTATAGACCTAGCCTCCCCCTACCTCCTAAGAAGTTAATTTTTTATAATGATCTTTCAAGGCAGAGTGTTTTGTTTTTAAGCATCAGAACGATTTTTGAGATATATTACTTATTACCATATTAACAGAAAAATGAGTCTCCGAGATGTTATTTATGGGAAAATAAACTTCTGGTTAAGGTCAAACCTAGGTTGTAACCACAAGCTCCATCCCTGTCCCCAATGCCAAATTTAATAATGAGGACAAGGTTTTGAGAAAAAGGAAAAAGAAGTTTTATTGCTTTGGTAGCAAAGGAGAAACACAAGGGACTCGTGTCCCAAAGGCCAGGACTCTCTGGATGGGTGGGTGGGGGCGGGGTTAAAGGAATTTTTCAAGGGTTACATTCCAGTAGGGGGTCCCAGGGCATCCTGTTTTTCTCTTAGGATTCACCTGTTAATTTGGGAGATTGTCTGTCAGGCATCTCCTTCCTGCAGTGGGTGTGTTCTATTCAAGGGCAGTTAACTGGGGAAGAAAAGATAACACTGTCTTCCTAATCTTGTTGGGGGGGGCGGGGAAGAGAAGAAAAAAACACTTTAAAAAAATAATAATAAACCTTAGAGCAATGAGGACTACATTCAGAAGGTAAAGGGATCACTGTTACAGGTGTTTTTTTTTTTTTTTTTTGGTTATTTTGAAATGGTTTCACTATGTTGTTCAGTATCCTCTGGAACTCCTGGGCCCAAGTGAGCCTTTGGAATAGCTGGGACATACAGGCTTAAAATGTAGCTTTTTCACTACAGTGTGATTGCCTTTCTAGAAATATACTTGACTCCAACTCCAGAAGGAAGATGTATACTCTGGGCATTCTTTTCAATTTCCTTTGCTCTCTGCACTTTTTTTCATGCTCTAGAGTCGGAAGTCTCAATTCCGAAGTTTATCTATTTAAATCATTGAACTAGTGGAAAATAGAGCGGGGACCCAAATTCACTGGTTTGGGGGATCCCACCCAATAGCAGTGGTTTTAAAAAGCAGAACAGGGCTGGGGGTATAGTTCAGCTTTAGAGTACTTGCTTAGCATGTGCAAGGCCCTGGACCTGATGATCCCCATCACTGAAAAAAAAGCAGAATAACCCTTTTCTAGTCTCTTAAAATATGTTCTAGGACTTGACTATGTTCTTAGTAAATGGACTATGTTCTTAGTAAATGAGCCGAATGGAATAGTAATCAGAGCTGAATTCAAATTTAAGCCATTTTCTTGTGTAGAGGTAATTTCAGCTTACAAAACAATCCTTTCAGAGTTGTGAGGATTGGATAAAGTTATAACATGTAAAATTTTTCTTATCCTTTGCCTGATATTTTAGTTCTCTCCCTTTTCCCTTGGGATTTTTAATGCTGTAAATATCAGAGAATCCAAAGACTTTTATCAAATTCTCAAAGGTAGCCAAGACCCTATAAAATGTTAAGAACCTCTGTCCAGTACCAAAAAAAAAAAAAGTGAACCTTTTTTTGGGTATGGGAGAGTGAAGGTAGTGGGTGCTTAACCACTGAGCTATATCCCCAGCTCATTTAATTTAAGACAGGGGCCTCAGGCTGGGGTTGTGGCTCAGTGGTACAACACTTGCCTCACATGTGTGAGGCACTGGGTTCAATTCTCAGCACTACATATAAATAAACGAATAAAATAAAGGTCCATCAACAATTAAAGCCAGCATCAGGACTTAGCCAGGTTCTTTCTCAAAATAAAAAAGACTAGGAATGTAGCTCAATGGTAGAGTGCCCCAATAGTGAAGCAAAACAAAAACCATTCTTGAATCCTGTGACACAACTAAAAGATGCAGTGTATGCCCAGAGACGTGAGTGTATTTATGGCATTTCATCAAGGAAATTTGAAACTAGGATAAGTCAAGCTGTTATTAATATTTTACTTTCTGACTATAGTCAGGTATAAATTACTGTTTTGGAGCATAGGATACATATAAGTAACCCTGATACCTTTTTCCATCTTATGTCTTGCCTCCCTAACAAGATGATATGCCTTACAACACTTTCATGCCTTGTGCGGTGTTTTACAGACAGTAGAATCTTTGCCATTGCTGTTTTTGCTTTTTTGGGGGGGTGGTACTAAGGATCACTCTGCGCTACATCCCCAGACCTACCTATTTATTTATTTATTTATTTATTACAGTCTCACTAAATTTCAGAGGCTGACCTTAAATGTGTGATTCTCCTTCCTCAGCCTCCTGAGTTGCTGGAATTACAGACATGTGCCGTAGCACCCAGCTGCCATTGCTATTTTATTACATGCTTATGTACAGCATGCATGCAATCCTCAAAACAACTATTTTAGGCAGGTTTTATTATCTCCATTTTTTTTTCTGTGTGTGTGTGTGTGGGGGGGGGAGGGTGCTGGGGATTGAACCCAGGGCCTTGTGCATATGAAGCAAGCACTTTGCCAACTGAGGTATATCCCCAGCCCCATATTATCTCCATTTTAAATAAAGGAATTGAGGCCCATATCGATCAAATAATTTTTTCTACCTAAATCTGAATTTTTCAAAATCAGATTTATTTTATTCCAAAGCTTATACTCTTAACTCTTAGGCTAAATTATTTTCTACTTTATTAAATTTAAACTCCTTTTAAAATATCTTGTGTAACCGCTGCACTGTAAAGAGGAGGAACTATATAAATTATATTTTAATTAGTGCACTTTATTCTTTTATTAATTGAAACAGTCAACAGATCTGCTTATAAGTAGCAAAACTAATTGAGTTTTCCTTTTTTATAACTTTTCTATTCAAGAATGATGAGAAAAATGAGACGTACAAAAACAAGAGGGCTGGGATGTAGATCAGTAGTAGAGTACTTGCCTAACATGAAAGGCCCTGGATTCAATCTCCAGCATGACAAAAAAATAAAATAAAAAACAAGAGGGAATAGCTGGACATGTAATCCCCACTGTTCAAGAGGCTAAGAGAGGAGGGTCTCAAGTTCAAGACTAGCCTGGACAACTTAGCAAGACCCTGTCTCAAACAATAAAAAATTGCTGGGGATGTAGGTCTGTGGTAGAGCAGCTCTGGGTTCAATCCTCAGTACTGGGGAGGGAAAGGGGAGGAAAAATCTGCCCTAAAGAATTATAAACGTGATTGCTTTAAGTATGGGGTACCTGAAGTATTTAAATTCTAAATATTTGATAAATTGACATGCCCTTATTATCTTTGGAAAATTAACTATTAATTTGGCCTCTTAATGCAGCTTGTCTTTTTGCCTCTCAGAAAACCTGACAAAATTCTTAACCTTGCTGTATTCAGCATCCTGTACTTAACATTTAACAAGTATTATTATGCATTATATGATCTAAGCCCATTATTATTTTATCATATAAAAACATCATATACAATTATAAAGTTGAAAACTTTGTCCTAATTTGCAAAAAAAGACATTTTTTTTAAACAATTTGGACTTACTGTGTAAATGAGCTATCTATGTCCCATATATGGTGAAAAGCTCTATGGCAAGAAAGAAAGCAAAGGGAAGGGAAAACTCATAGCTGAGGATAAAGGTTTGAGGATTTCAGGAACCAGAATGGTCATTAATCAGGATCTTACAGTTCTGATGGAACATACTAACATAATGACTGGGTTTAAATCCTAGCTTTCTGCTACTGACTTAACCTCTCCAAGCCTTGGTTTTCTCCTTTATGAGATAATAATGCAAACATCTTCTCATAGGGCTGAAGTGAGTTTGAAGTTGAGAAAAAAATATGTAATATACTTAGTATGGTTTCTGACACATGAAAATTTCTCAGTTCATGAGCAGACATGGTGGTGCTTACCTGTCTTCCCAGCAACTCAGGAAGCAGCCTCAGCAATTTAGCAAAACCCTGTCTAAAATTTAAAAGGGCTGAGGATGTAGCTCAGGGGTCAAGCAAACCTGGGGTTCAATCCATAGTAAAAAAAAAAACCATTTGTTTTAATATGTGATAATTACTATTATTGCTATTATTTTATTGATGGACCTCTATGAAGAGTTATGAAAAATAATAATCCTAC